CTAATTGATCAGCAACTTAAAGTCGTCCCGGTTAACATTGTTTCGATGTTAAGTGAGGAGTTCCTGTATTTCACAATTTTCTTCCACGCACTACTTCTAACTTCTGTCTAAAACTTTGCTAATTATTCTTCTTCAAGTAATTGCACATGTCCATTCTACTGTAGGTGTGTGTGCACCTCAAAGGTTTTTCTTTTAGCAGTACTGGTGGGGGAGGCATGAGCGCCCTCTGGTGCCTTGCATCACTGCATGCAGGTATAAAGGGCTGCACTGCTCCCGACTCCCCTCAGTTCCTTCCTACTGCCAGTGACAGTTATTGTTGCAGCTACAGTCTTTGTTTCTTCATATCTTCCCTCCTTTAGTGTAACTAGTACCTGTAGTGTTTGTTTTTAGTCTTGTACAGAATATCTGTAAATAGTATTCTAAATTTATTCCTGAAGCTATCTTTTTAGTGTATGGCTACCATTGGCTTGGTTGGGTTCCAGGGTCGGTACCGGACTGATGCCCCATTTACATGGTTTCAAGGCCTGTCTGTTGATGTAACAGGTCTGTGCCAGTGAGCAACCCAAACTCCATCTGCCTTAAGTGTCTGGGAAGGCACATGTGACAAACACCACACTTGTAGAGGGTTCAAACCCTGTTTGAAAAAGGTCACAAACTTGCCAGATTCAAGTACATGCTCATGGAGTCTGCACTTCATTCGCTGTCAGAACGAGTACTGAGAAGTCCAAGTCTGTTAGGTGTGCTCCTCATGTTCTAATAGAATCCTAAGAAGAGACTGTGTTAAGTCTCTTAAAGCCTGGGTACTGGACTCTCCAAGAAGAAGGCACCAAGTGTTTGTAAGGACTCAGTAGGGCACTCAAAAAAGGCGCACCCCCAGGAGCAATCTGTGAGCCAGGCGGGATTGTTGACTCCAGAACCCAGGAAGGGTCCATTCAGACCAATCCCTGAAGGATCAGCGCACCTCTTGGTACTGCAGTTTCAGGAGCCCTTTCTGGTACTGCTGACAGCTGAGGCTTTTGAGGTAGCTAGAGAGTTGCTTAGGTTGTTGGTACCAGCTTCTCCCACGATTCAAGAGTCTTGCACAGTACCAATATTGGAACCACATGCTCCTGTGTCCCAATTTCAGCCCCAGAGCACCACTCAGTCCTGGCCACTTCTACTCTTGTGGCACCTCTATGTAGGATTGCACCTAGAGGCAAATCAGCAATGATTTCAGTCATCCCCTTCTCCAGACCCAGAACCTCTCTCCCCAGTATCAATGGGTTCAGCTCCCTCATGGTTGGAGGAAATGGATTCCTCATCGGACTTGGAAGTCGGGTCCTTTGTGTCCCAACCTGAGCATGCCCAATAGCCCCAGTGGGGTGCCTGCCTGCCATGGTTCTGTTCACAGCCTCAGCATTCTAAGAGCTAGTGTCCCTAAACACAGCTCGCTCCCACCTCTGTATGAATGGCCCGACTGGATTCCTTGGGGCTTCCTTTGACGTTCCAGAACCTCTTTGCTCCCTTTACACACGTCTATGTCAGCCAGATGCCAGGAGCATCTGCAAGAAGGTCACTATTTTTCTTCCCACAGTATCAGGATTGGTACCGGGCAGCGGAGCCGCATGCTCAGGACTCTCCTATAGAGGAATTAGAGGGAACTCCTCAACATTTAGCCACCTCTTCTTCGTCACCTCAGACGCAGAGGCAGCAGTGACTGAATCTACATCAAGAGCTCATCAAGACTTGTTGAGGAGGATGGCTACAGTTCTAGGTATACAACCAGAAGAGGTACAAGAAAAGTCACACAAGCTTGTGGACATTTTAGCCTCTATAGGACACTTTAGAGCAGCTCTCCCTATTAATGAGGGTATCCTGGAGCTTGTCAAGATTTTGACAGACTCCTTCTCTGCTTCCCAATGCCAAAATGATAGAGTAGAGATATTATGTCCCTTCACAAAAACAAGATCTGTTCCACAGGAAACTTTTGGATTTACAGCTCAGGATTGCGAACCAGCAAGCTTTGCTGGTTTGATACAATTTCAACCTACGGGATAATAGCCTGAAGTTCAAAGATAAGCTTCCTGATGATGAGGCAAAGCAGGAGTTCTCTGCTTTGGTGGAGAAACGTAAATTAGTTGTCAGAACTGCACTGCAGGCAAGCTTGGATGCGTCAGACTCTGCGGCTCAAGCTATGGCTTTCTGCCATCATGATGCAACATTCATCTTGGCTTCTGGCATCAGGCCTCCCACCAGAGTTACAACAAACAATTTAAGACCTCCCATTTGAAGGCCTCTTGCTGTTTTCCAGTAAAACTGATGAGAGGCTTCATAGTCTTAAGGATTCAAGGGCGACCCTTAAGTCTCTGGAGATCTGTATACTGGCGGCAAAAAGAAAGCCATTCCAACCACAGCATTCCCAGCAGTTTAAAGTCCTGCTTGCTGCATTCCCAGGACATGTCCAAAAAGAAAGGCAGGGGTTGCAAGAGGTGTCCTCCTCCCCCGCCCTCCTCTGCAGCTGCCAGCTCTTCTAGGCAACCTGGATCATCTAAGAAATCCTTTTGACCTGTTGGGCAAGAACAGTATACCAATTCGCATAATGTCATCTTTCTCTACCCCTATTTTTGCCAACTGCCTATCCCACTTCCTAAGTGCTTGGACCCGCATCACCACACATCAATGGGTCTTAAGTATGGTGGAACTGGGATACACCTTTCAATTTATTTTTACCCCACCTTACCCATCCCTCTTCAGGGATCACTCTTACGAGAGCGTGCTGCTTCAGGAGGTCCAGTCTCTGCTCCACATTGGAGCCATACAGGAAGTTCCCATACAAGAAGTTCCCAGGTCATTTAAAGGGGAAGTATTTTATTCCTGCTGCTTCCTAATCCCAAGGCAAACATGGGCAGTGTCGGACCTATTTTAGATCTAAGGCAATTAAACAAGTACCTAAAGAAAAGGAAATCCCGGATGGTCACTCTAGCATCTATTGTCTCTTCCTTAGATCCTGGGGACTGATATGCTACTATTGACTTAAAAGATGCTTATTTTCACATGGTAATTCACCAGAGCCACCAAAAATTTCTCAGGTTCATGGGCAATGGGATTCCACTACCAATTCATAGCACCGCCTTTTGGACTGTCAGCAACCCCTCACGTTTTCACAAAATGCATGGCTGTAGAAGCAGCATTCCTGCGAAAGTCCTTTTCCTTACCTGGACAGCTAGCTAGTAAGAGGCCAGTCCAGGTCTCAGATACTCCCCAGCATAGCCACTATTTGGTCTACTTTTGACACACTGGGGCTACTAATCAGAATGGAGAAATCCATCCTCTCTTTTGTTCAAAGAACAGAATTCACTGGAGCAGTCCTGGACTCTACAAAGGCTAGGGTTTCCCTACCAAGAAGAGGTTCTAAACAAGGCAGCTTATTGCTCTAGATCTAAAGATGTACCCTGTCACCACAGTTCAGAACTGCCTCTAACTTCTAGGACAAATGGCAGAATGCACCTACATGGTGCTGCATGCCAGACTACCCCTCAGAAATTTACAGGGTTGGATAGCTTCGGTATACTCACCAGCCTATCACATTATATAGTACTCCTGGGGGAATTCTGCACCAAAAAATTAAAAATTCTGCACATACTATTTTAAAATTCATCTTTTTCCTTCCCCCGGGTGTCCAGCTGCTCAAAGGAACCACCATATGTGTGTGCAAGGGGGGATGTGCCCTTTGGTTGATGTGGCTTTTGCGCAATTTTCTGTTTGCTCCTAGTGGTCACGGGTCTAGAGACCTGAGACCAGATGGTAACTTCCTGTGTAGTCTCTAGGGATGTTACTGCTTCAAGAGCTTTGCTTGTGGATTTCCAACTCCATTTTTATCCCTTGATCTGCCACATGGCTTCACTCTAACCTTTCTTTGAAGTCACTCTAGAAAAATCACAATTGCTTCTATTGCTGCCCACGTAGTTTATTCAGTATATAGTAACTCAAAAATAATTGTCTTGATTCTAAGGGCCATTTTTCCCCTTTGACTTGAGCACTGCCATGTGTGTTGGTATCTTTGAAAAGACAAGGTAAGGCCCCCGTCCTGCAAATGACTCTGCAGGGATAGACCTATTCTTGTATAGGACCACACTGAAGCCAATGGGCTACATGTAGACACAAGTGTCTGTTTGAATAGAATCAGCTGCTGGGTCAAGGTCTAAATTAAGTGTCCTAAAGGTCAGTATGTGACCCCCCAACCACCATGAAGTCCAGGTCAGCGTGGAGAACAGGGGGTAGGTAGTGAATAATTTAATATTGTAATCTTGGGGCAGAGACCCTATTTCTGTTCTGTGATCGCATGAGAGTTGAAACCTCTACATACAAAAAAAATGGGACATCTGCCCTCGGAGGTGCAAAAAAACAGGACATCCACTTGCTCCCTACCTTCTACCATATACACCTGGCCTCCTCCCCCGGCACTGTCTCCCTATCCCATCCCTGGGGGATGGCACCAGCTCCCACAGGCACCTGCTGCCAGGGCTGCCCTGGCCACTGACCTTGGCAAACAGGATAGGGCACCAGCTGATCCACAGTACCCCCACCTGGCGGTGACCCCACTCTGCCTGTTCCACGTGCTGCTCCCGACCGAGCCACCCCAGCCCTGCATTTCCCAAACACTCCGGAGCTAGAGCACCCGGTGCGCAGGCGCTGCTGCCCTCAGCCTCCCAATAGGGGCGTGCCTGACAAAACCCGGGACTTCCAGGTGCCAGGACAGCGGGCAGCCCTACTTTGTACAGCGCCTAGCGCGGTGGTAATAGGAACACCTGCTCAGCACCAGCCAGGCTGCTGCCCTGCCCCTCCCCCTCGGGTTTTGGCGGGGGCGCGCGCGCGCGCGCGACGGTCTCTGGGGGCGGAGCCGGCGCTGGGCGCGGAGGCTGCCGGGAGCGGAAGTCGGCCGCGGCGGATGTTGACAGTGGTGACCCACACCAGGCTGGGTGGCCCGCTGAGGTGAGGCAGGGGGTGGCGCGAGCGTTGGGGGAGGGGCCCGTGCCCGGCGCGCGAGGGGCCGGGCGGCGAGTGCCAGGCGGCGGCTGTCCCTCCGGTACCGAGCGCGGGCGCTGCTCGCGCCGCTCCCTGGCGGGGAACCGGTGGGCGGGGCCCCGGCCCCCGGCTGTCAGTGAGGAGCCCCCCGTGTCTCTGCGGGGCGCGTCGCGCTTGGCCTCGTCTCCACCGGGTTTTGCTCCCCCCGTTGCTGGTGTGGACGCGCTGCGGCAGCAGCCGCTTGTGCCGAGAGTCCTGAAGCAAGGCCCTGAGATCCCGCGGGGTGTCTGTGACCTGGGGTCCTCCAGCAACGCGGTCACCGCTGAACTGACACCCCCGAAACGCCCCGCGGTGACTTCTGCCCCGAGCGGCACCCAACGGAGCGTGGGGCGCCAGGAAACCCCGGCACAGCCGTGGGGCTCGCTCGCTCGCTCTTGTTTCCATTTTGCATCTTTCACCTGTGGGAAGGAAGCGGCTCTGTGGCGTTTCTTGACTCATGGTTTCACCCAGCGGTTATTAAAAGCCCCACATGTCTGTTTTAGGACTATAGCACTGGATCAAAATGGCTGATGATAATGAAGAGCTGCAGGCAGACGAAGAGCTCCCAGCTCCAGCTGAGGACAACTTTGAGCAGCTGGAGAACAGCAGCCCCGCAGAGCGCAGTGGGCATGTAGCAGTCACTGATGGGCACTGCATGTTTGTTTGGGGAGGCTATAAGGTACCATTCTCAAACTGTTACTCTTTTAAAATATACAGCTAAGACCTCCTTATCTGACAAAACAGCTTCTCTCTGCACTGACCCAGGCATCTGTCATTGGGCATGCTTTCGAGGTTGACTGGCCTCACTCAGTATTTCGACAAGACTCTAACTACATAATATAACCACTCCAAAAAAAGTTTGACATGCCAAGTACTGAACTATCACTTTAAGATGACATATAAGTAGTTAGAAATGGTGTGACCCTTGTAAAATGATGTTAAATAAATGCTCTGAAGACTAATAAATGGCTATTTGTAGGAGATGGGGTTTCTGTTCTCTCTTTCTTGCAAGATATTTAATAATCTGGAAGATAAGGAATTACTGTTAGTTGGTTGACTAAGACATAGCGCAGATCGGCACTTAACAATTTTATCCACACAGCTTTTCCAGCACATCCCTACTTGGCGATACACTAGAGTTCAGAGTTCCTGAGTAGTCTGCTAATCATGCTGGCGTAGGTGTAGTTTTAAACAAAAAATAAAACCATATTATGATCAAGTTCTTGTTTGTCCAAGTCACAAGGGTAAGGTCACCAAATTTATTTTCATTTGACAGCAAACTAAATTTTTTGCAGATATCTGGAAACAAGGTGCCTAGTGTATTCCACTAACATCTGGCAAAATCCTTTAAAAAAAAAAAGTCTGGGCGCAGATCCTCATGCTAGAGCTTTAGTGTGCCAGAGGGAGGAGGTTGCAAAGGTGGCTTTAACCCATCTTAATACTCTTCTGATCCTGGAGTCTGCTGTGAGCTGGTGCAGTTCCCAACACAAGCTAAAGTAGCCCTGAGACTGCTTGAATTTGTCACAGTGTGTAAGTGCTCCCTGAGGGCTGTTACACAAGTGGGAGTCACTGAAGTGCAGCCTGCACTGGTCACACTACTTATCCCTCCTCTGACTCCTGATGCTATTTTCTGTTTCATAAACACTTAAAAATAGGTTGAATTGTTTCTGAGGGGGAAGGAGGGCAGGCCTGAAAACATTTGACTGTACATGATATAAAATGTCGAGCCTTTTGTAATAGTGCCTTTTCTCTTCTCTGCTCTCCCTGCAGAATGCTCAAGTTAGGGGATTTTATGACTTCTATCTGCCTAGAGATGAAATATGGATCTACAGCATGGAAACTGGAAGATGGTACAGTACATGAGTGACTTTAAAATAAAGACAATGGCTTAAGAAAGGAAAAATAAAGAGGTTCTCAACCTGATCTCTAAATCATACTGATGATCCATGGAGGAATTGCTGATGACCTGCAGAAAACTGTCTGGTCAACATGGCACTGCCTTTCCTCCTTTCCAGATGACAAACTGCCACACCAGGGTCTTTTGATTTAAATATAAGCAATTTAAATCACTGACTTTAATCAGCAAGCAGGGAACTTTGATTAAATCCATTTTAATCGTGTTTTGCATTTGTACCATTTGGTTATTTTTCTAAAGAAAGGTTGATTTGATTTGCTAGTTAATATAGCCTGTACACTAAATTTGGTGGTACTTTTTGCTAACCAGGAGCATACGCTATATCTATACACATTTATTTAAGCAGTTATACAGTTCCACATACACTTACTCAGATTCTTAATTTTTACCTTTTTTTTTTTATTTTAGAAAATGATGCATTTCTTATTTACTAGAGTATGATTATTTTTTATTTGTGATCTGTGTCAAGCTCTACTTGGATGGAAACATAAATTAAAAATGCACAAAAACAGCATTTTAATTTTTTAAAAATAAAACTATCCTAAATGTGCTGGAAACATAAGAAAAAAACATCAAAATATGTTTTGCATTCAAAACTAACTGATTTATTAAACAAAGGCAGTATTAACTATAGTTAGTGAATTGAACTGAGGTTTGTGGTCACCATGTTCTTCATGAGTTTAGAACGAATAGATCTCATCCCCTCATCCCTGGTTTTTATTCTTAAACAGGAAGTGGAAAACAAGCTTTCTTGGTGTTTCAACTCCCAGTTGGTTTCTTAACTTGGAATTAAATTAGTAACTGAGCTGAACTAGTTGAATACAGTGAAATGAAGAAAATATTTTCTCTGCATCTGCAGGAGAGGCTACTACTGTCAAAGGTTGGGTTAGCACTTCAACAGACACTAGTTCAAGGAGCTTAGCCAGTGGCTTCCACCTGTTCAGTGGTTTGACTTTTAAAATTTGGCAGCAAATACTGTATGTACTATTAGGTATTATTTTTTTGTATAATTGAAATGATTTGAATAATTATTTAAACCTTAACATAGGTTGTCAATTTCAAATTTTTAATTTTAAGTGCATTTATTTTTTAGAAATCCATATTTAATTAAAATTGAAACTGTGTGGGTTTTTTTTTTAAATCACTGATTTTTATTCACCCTGCAAACTGCATTATAAAACTTAATATTTAAGTTTTCTTAATCTTATTTTTCCATGTAAGTGATTGCTGTAGTTGCCACAGGGACGTCACTTGCCTCTAAATGGGAGAGGAGGTGGCTCCCAAGACAGTTTCTCCATTAAGGTGTGACAAACACTGTGGAATATTTGAGAACCCCTGATATCAAATATAGTTTTTGTAGATTGTATATATTTGTAACATACTACAGCAAATAACCTAATGAAATAAACCTGTGTTCAGATAGTATTTCCTTCATCGTGTTGTGAAGGTAGTTTTTAATTTAAAAACTATCTTTTTAGTTTTAAAAACATCTGTTCAGCTACATATACTATTTTTGCTTCCTTATCCAACAAAAAAAAAAACACCTGAAAGTTGTTCAGAAGCTGCATACCTGCTGTTGGTAGTGGGGGTTATGTGTTGCTTCACCTCTCTAGACAACTAGGGACTTATCCTGCAAAGTGCCCTAAACTCTTTAAGGAGCAGTATTAACTGGTTCAGAAGGGAGTCTCATCCAGTCTTACTTGGCAGTTGCTGTTCTTGTGGTCATGTGGAGCCTTGAGTTTGGAAATGCATCCTTGTGATTACAGCGCTTTGAAAACATTAAAAAAAACTCCTTTTTTTTTTTTTACCAAGATGTGTTTTTTAAAGGAGGATTCTCTGTGTCTGAGTATCTCCATTTCAAAAAGGCGAAGGGGGGGAGGAGGATCCTTAGTCCTCTGAATTGGAAATAGAGAATCCCCCAAAAATATATCTTTGTGAAAGGAGGGTTTTTCAGTGTGTTCGAAGAGCTGTTACTACAAAGATCCAAATGACTCAAAACTGGAGTCCTGAATATCCCACAAACACCTGTTGTAGTTAATAACTCAGCCAGTCAGATTGAATCCTTCGACTTCAGACATAATAATCTTTTCCTTTTTATCAGTTTTTAAATGCTTTTGTGTATCTTTCCAGGAATAAAAAAAAACAGAAGGAGATGTTCCACCTTCCATGTCAGGCAGTTGTGCTGTGTGTGTAGACAAAGTATTGTATTTATTTGGAGGGCATCATGCACGTGGCAATACAAACAAGGTAAGTGTCTGAAGATTAATTATATCCTTTCTGTTAGAGGTTCCAATAGACACTATTTGTAGCCCCATTCTGTACTAAAGATAAGACTGACCTCTAAGCACATTAAAATGCATCCAAAGCATGAAAATATCACATTTCATAAACTACAAATGCTCTTCCTTCTGAAGAGATATAGTATGTCTGCTGGACTGTGTTAACCAAGCCTTGATATTGTCATGTTAATGACTGGGGAATGCTGAACAGGTAGCAAGTCATTAGGTCCTTCACATCCTCTCCTACAACATACCTTCATCTTCTGTCTGTATGTTCATTGCTTGGAACAGAGAAACTAGTTTTCTTTCCTGCAATCGCTTCCTCAAACTTGAAGTAATCCAAACAAATGTTACTTTTTCACACTTGCCAAAGAAGCAACAACTTACAATAGTAGTTTTACCACTCTGAGCTTTTCATCCAGATGGCTGACACAGTGACTAACTCCAGTTCAATTTCCCTGTAACTGTATTGGCTGATATGGGTTTTGGGAATGGATCAGGTCCGGCCCTAGATAGTTTGGCATGACTGAAGGAGTAGATTGCAGTACTGTAAAACATCCTCCTCTCCAGTAGTTGTAGTTACTGCAAAATAAGTGGTGTTAATCCTAATGTACTGGTCAAATTCACCCTGTAGTCTTATTACATAGATTCTTTGAGTCTACTTAATTTTGAAGGCTGGGAGCTTCAAAAATCCACTGAAATCTTAAACTTGCGAATGGATAGAAATGGTGATGAATTAAGCTGGTTTGTGGTAGTTTGGTGAAATGTTTCTTTCTTTCTTTCTTCCTTCCATCCGTCTCATGCTTGGAGAATCTAAGCTTTCACTTAAAAAAAGATACCCTTAAAACATAAACTCAGTGCAAACTGATGAAATGATGATGCAGACAGGCTGAAATAAAATAGCTCAGACATCTGACGAGCTTCATATTCATGTCACTGATAGACTTCGTCATTAGCATAATGACAAGTTAAATTCAACATCAGCTGTCCCTCTGCACAGCAAAGTGTGCAAGAAAGGAGAGATGATTATATAAAAAAATCTGCTGAGTGAACTATTTTACATTCAAATGGCTGGAGCTTGGGGGAGTACTACTGCTTTCCACCCTGGGATGGGAGTAGTAAACTAAGTTCAGTGCTAATACTCCTTTCACAAGTGTAGAACAGCATTAAGGGCCTACTTCGGGGGGTTGTTGGATCCTTACATGTGACCTCAGAATATTTCATCATAGTATTCTGAGCTTGGAAAAGAACTATATACTTTTCTGCTGGCGCATTCTAATCAATATATTGAAACATTTGTTGGTCTCTAGATGTACACTAACTGTGTGGGTTAAAAAAACTCTTATTTTTATTGTCTTGTAGTTCTACATGTTAAACTCCAGATCCAAGGACAAAGTGTTGCAGTGGGTTAGAGTAGAATGTCAAGGTGTTCCCCCCTCATCAAAGGACAAACTTGGAGTTTGGGTTTATAAAAATAAGTAAGCAAGCATGAACAAAAGTTTGCAGTTCTCTTTGTGACTTTTTTTTAATAAGATTGTCATTCTTGTTGGTGTATTGTATCTAAGCTGAACAAAACTGGGAAGGGAATACATTTTATACATTGAATCTTGTGCTGGGTTTGATTCTAAATAAACATTTAAAAAGTGCTCAACTCTAAACATGTTTGAAAATAAGAAAAACCTTACTTGTAATTTGGTAACAAAGTCAAGGGAGCATAGTGGGGTTTCCCATATGCTGTGTGTGAAAAGCCTTTACTGAGCATTACGTTGTAATAGTAGAGATTGCCGTACAATGGTACTTGCTTTTGATAACTTGATGTAATTTCTATTGAACAGGCTAATATTTTTTGGAGGTTATGGTTATTCGCCTGAAGGGATACCAATAGGAACTTTTGAATTTGATGAAACCTCTTTTTGGGTAAGTAACCTTCCTTCTCCACCTAAGAGTAATTTTCAGCAGAAAACGTTCTGTTGCTAGTGCATAATATGTTAATTAAAATGGAAATGTAATCGTTTTTTCATCAATTTTCTAAAGAACTCAGGTCAGCCTAGAGGATGGAATGATCATGTGCATGTTCTGGACACTGAAACCTTTTCTTGGAGCCAGCCCATAACCACGGTAATTTTTAAAAGAATTTTGACACTGAGTAAAGCATAACGCTTCAGCAAAAATGGCAGCTTTTTCTAGGATTGACACTAGACGGGACATGAAGATAAAGAGTAGCAATACTATGCAAAGTATCCTCACTTGCTAGGCCTGTATTTTTTGTTTTAGTTTTGTTCTAATACTCATTAAGAAAGAGGAAGTCTACAGATCAAAAGGCTGTTCTACATAGGTGCCTCCATGGGCTTCCAGCAGTGACTTGCCTCAGTAGCAGTGGCTTTGAGCAATTGACTTGTATTGAAGAACCACTTCTATATTGTAGTCATATAACTGCAGTAGTTCTTTTATTGGCAGATCTGCCTGTCTCTTTCTCCCTCCCCCCCCCCCAACAAGTAAAACTTGGGTCTCTTGGGCCTCCCTTACATAGATGAATGCAACTCCATTTTCTCCCTTGTCCCCACCTGCTGCCAGTCACCTTAAATCAGACTGTTAATCCACGGTTTCTGCCCCCTTAGCTGATCATGAGTTTCTGGAGGGAAATGGTATTTAGTTTTATCTTGAATATAACATCTGTGTAATTATGCAGCTGTTAAAGATCTCTGACCAGATTTCCTTTCTTAGTTTCCAGCCTCTGCTCAATACCATTATCTGAATAACACTATCAAACAAGTCTTCCTTCGAATTTTAATATTTTCTTCTCTCAGGGTAAATCCCCCTCACCCCGAGCAGCCCATGCCTGCGCTACAGTTGGGAACAGAGGCTATGTGTTTGGAGGCAGATACCGAGTAAGTGTAAGAACAGTTTTACAATGTTGCTGCTGAGTCTCTAAAGTGAATAGTTCATTCAACTTTTATCTATTTTATTTTAGGATTCTAGAATGAATGATCTCTATCATCTTAATTTGGACACATGGGAGTGGAATGAAATGTAGGTATCAAAGCTCTTTAGTCTTCCTTTTTTTTTTTTTAAGGTCAGTACATAATTGTATTTGTAGATGTACTTTTTCACCTGCAAATCATTCTAACAGAACTTCCAAGTATTTACCATCAAATGCATTGCTTTTAGAGAGGTACGACTAAACGTTTATGTCCTAGTACCTTGTTTCACTGGCCATCACTAATTTTAAAGTGTCTGGAGATGAGTAAAAGGCCTTCCGACATTCAGACGGCCATTATTTGAGACTATTCTGTCTTCATTGGATTAGTCCGTCTGCAATAGCTCTTTCCAGGAAGTCTGACTTCTAATCGTTGAGAAATGAACTGTGCCTTCCTCAACAAGAAACTGAATTGTTGCTAATAGTTGGTCAAAGTTAGCATCCAGCACTCAACTGTATGGATTTAATATCTGAAAAATCATTGGACCCCAAAAACGTCTGCACTGTGTTTTAGCTGGTCTGTAACTTGGGGTGCTTTTTTGTTTAAATGCAGAATTACACAAGGCATTTGCCCAGTAGGCCGATCTTGGCATTCCTTAACTCCTGTTTCATCAGATCACCTATTTCTCTTTGGAGGGTTTACCACCGATAAGCAGCCACTGAGTAAGTAATTCTAAGGAACATTTACACTCTTCAAATTCTATACAATTGCATGCTCAAGTGTCTGTTTAACTGTAAACTATTTACTAACATTGTCTCAGTAATACCTAGTGCTTTCCAACCATAGAACTCAAAGGTCAGTATCACGGTCTCCATTTTACAGATGGGGAAACTGAGGCACAGGTTAAGTGAATTGCCTAAGGTCATCTAGCAAACCAGTGGCAGAGCTGGGAATTGAACCTAGGTCTCCCGAGTCCCTCTCTAGTGTCCTAGCCATTGGCTATTCCCGTGAGTAACATTTTGCAGTGCTCATTGTTCACGTCTCATAGCAGCAATGGCATTTTTTAAAAATAGAGCATTCCAAGTCCAATCAGAAGCTGAGAGCTCATTTCTTAATCTTTTCAGCAATGTGAAAATCTGTGGTTAGGTGACCTGCTGTAGACTTGTTCAGCCTTGTCAGTACTGAAAATATTAGGCTTATCTTTGAAAAGTGCTATTTGATTATAGTCAACTACCTTGTGTGGTGTAAAATCCATTCAGACGAATGGAACGTGATGGCAAACTACTCCCAGAGTGGTAAGATGGCTATACCAGTCCCCCAGACTGGATGAGTTACTCTATCTAGCTCCAGGGGAAAACAAGAATTGCATCATCCACAGACTGGCCATCATGTGACTGATTTCTTATGATTATTAAAAAAGCAACACTACTCTTGTCTAATTCAACATGTAATCAGCTTTGTTTTGTAAACTTTATCAAGATCAAATGCACATTTAGAGAGGCTTATGAAAACTTCATTAATAATATTACATCGTATGAAATGACATCTAGTTTTCATAGGTAAGCTGTTTTCTGCAAGGAAAAGCGTTCCATCATTTCAGTGTGGGCTGTTGTGTTTTAGAAGGAATTTAAAATGACAAGACATTTATCTCTTCCTTCCATAAGTGGAAAGATGTAAAGAGGACTGTATACCTACACATGTGTACACAATGTATAATTTTGACTTGGTGATTGAAGGACTTAACAGCACATATATTAAAAAACATAAATAAGGATTTCGGTGTTTGTGTGTAATGGCCTCCTGTACATGCAGTCATGTGGAGTGGAATCCAGAGAGGAGGGGGAGATGATTAGTAATTTATGTTCAACTTTGTGGCTGTATTTTTCTTTTTCTACAAAACCACTACACTCCCAGCTCTGAATGAGAAGTAACAGTTTACAATTTTTGAAGTTTGTGTAGATTTAGATTTCATTCCCGAATGAAAGTTTGCTACTGGTATGGACAAGGGATAAAAGCATAGGTTCCCCACCTGCCTCTCTTTTCTCTGTCCTAGCCACAGAAAACCACCAGTGAGAGCAAGTTTTCACACAGCTAGCCACAAATTGCAAATTTCAGTCCTGAAGAATTGGGGACACACATGGTTATACACTGTATTCTTATGTTATACCCAGAATATGCTTGTTCTGGCAACAGTGACAAGGATTAATATCTCTTTGTATTTATAGGTGATGCTTGGATTTATTGTATCAGTAAGAATGAGTGGAAACAGTTTGAGCATAATTATTCTGAAAAACCAAGGTAAGGTGTACACACATTCTTGGAAATGTATAAAAACCAGTAATAATGTCTAGGAAATCTTAGGGGGCAGTCTGTAGCATTGATATGGCACACAGGTCTTGGATCACCTTTTCACTAATACCGCATCTTTTTTTAACGTTAAAGTAGTGATAAATCAGAGTGGTTGCTCTTACCCAACCATGATAATACATCCTGTTTTATGAAGGTGCAGGATTAAGGTAGCGATGTGTCTGTGTGCTGATACAGACTCCAGCATATCC